GCACTTACTTACTGGCGAACCACGGAAATTGAATTATGAGAAATGTTAAATGTTAAATATTGATAAATGTTGCCAGTAAAACGATTAAAGCCAGATGTTATAATTCATCATATACCTCTAAACAACCTATAACAATCAGTACTATAAATTGTTCGAAACAACGTTCAGATGTGGTCAAAGACAAATACTCCCATAAAAAAGTGAAATATTATTTCACAGATTAAGTTACTCCATGTGCAGTGGACTGCATAATTTAGAGTACCTTATTTGGAGTACCTAATTAGATGTACCTAAATAGGAGTACCTAATTATGTGTACTTAATCTCTTATCCTTATGTTATTCTACCCTTTAAGACATTTTGCTACTTTAAATTAGAGTTTAAAATATTGCTGTAGGGCTATATTATAAAATATACTATTCAACAAGCATTTTTGGTTTTATAACTACATTTTTCGTGGTGTACAAAAACCAATAATATATTATTTTCATACAATCCATACAGTACTTTTCACAACGACTGTCGCATTGCAAACAAACGACAAACACCAGTTGAATACACGAACTTTTAAGCTCTACATTCTAAGAACAGTTAGTTTATATTTTATAAAAACAATATTTTATAGGTTCACCAAATCGTCGTGGCTCCTACCTGCAAAAAGAACAAATAATTGTTTTTTCGACGACTTTCTTAGGTCGGTCGGACAACTACAAGAGACAAGAGTTGCCATCTTGGGGAATTGAGTAGTGCGGCGGTATCTCGTTGCTTTCCGCACCAGTTAAGTCTCCAGACGGTTGCATAAACAAATGACACATCACGATATTATAATAATATGGAATTTCCAAATGATGAAAATGCTGTTTATTTTTTTTTTACTTTAACCGAATCTTTGATTAACACTTGTCTGACGTCCCTGTCCACAAACTGACTTAATCCCGAATTTTGAATACCCCCGCCTCATCGGTAGGGCTGGAAGTTTTTTTCCAATAAATTTGTTAACGACATCTTAGGACTAAAGAGCTGAAAACTATAGTTATATTGTTAATCATAATATTATATTGGTTACAGCGATAAAAACTTATTATAAACAGACGACCAATCCTATTGATAAAAATAAAATTTTAAGTAGGTATACAGGGTGATCCACTTATCGTGAACTACTCAACATCTCATATTAAAGTTTCAAGTTTAGGGCAAGAGGAAAGATGAAGTGTAGTATGATTTTTATCTGCACGCATTTTCCAACCGCACTTCCCTCCCATCCTAACTTTAAAACTCTTATAACTTTAAAAATAGTTATCCGAAAGTGGTTATCGACCAGTCAACATTTTAAGTACATTATTCTCAATATAAAAAAGTAATAAAATATATACGTTTCTATTTCAGTTTCAAAAGTTGCTATCAAAAAAACTAAGTTGGGAGGTGGGTAAAAACAAAAAAGAAATGTGAAAAATTGAGATCACATTGTATAAAAACAATATAAAAAAAAAATATTTTAATTTCTTATTAAACCCTATGAGATATTGTGTGGTTGACGATAAGTGGATCATCCTGTATTATTGGTAATGCTTTTCTTATACATACTCGTATATATCTACAGATATACATATTTAAGTGTTTATTTAAATGTGATTTTACAACTTTTAGTTAAAATAATTCCTATAGCCCTGTGATCTCACCAGCTCTTGTATGCTTCGTTCCCACTTGAAACGTTATAAGTTTCAACTTTCTATGGTCTACGTGTCATTTACCAGTAGCCGGCCGATTCCGACCAGGGATAATTAGGGAAATGCGACCAATAGATGGCGTGCACATAGTATCAACCTTAAATCCACAGTTTTTAAATATTATTTATCAATTTACTAAGAGTAATAATTCATTAACAAAATATAGGCAGTATAAACATTAAAGTGGTCTTATAGCATTTTGTTATATTAACTACACCGAGGAAAGCATTTTGAGGGTGTGTTAGACACTTTTATTTCTTTCATATTAAAATAAGAAATACAGATCATAATTAAATTATTGTATAACGGTAATTATTCGACTCCTATTAACGGTTCTCGTATCCATATGTATTTAACCGAGCTCCAGAAGTGTAGGTGATTTAAAAAAAAATAAAAAAATAAGTTAGCGTTTGAATTTTTTATTTTCATTTATTTGTTCTAACTTTGTAAAGATACTTAATTGCCTTTTAATAATTATCATATTTCTTCGGTTTTCCAAAACCGGTAGCACATAAAATTCATATTTATGTTCGCATTTTCCAATTGGCGATAACATTATAACAAATAGGAAGTCACTATAAAAGATTTTGAAATAATGATAGACAAACGGTTTTTATCTACAGATTATATCTACAGATTTCTAGATTAGAATGAGTGTGATACGTTAGTTGGATCACCCTGTATGTGTAAAATATTTTATTTCTTCGTTACAATATCTTACTTATTAGCTATTAAACACGAAATTGCAGAAAATACTAATAAAGGGATCGTTTCATTTATTTAAAAATAAAACCAAGTCTTAAATTATTCTTTATCAGTAGAATAAAATTAAAAAGTACCCTCTTCCTTGGTAAATAGTTAGGTGAAAACGCCACTGGCCAAAGGTCGGATGGTTTCACACTATACCCCGGCCGTATTGTACTAGCTTTTTTTTTTAAATGCAATAGACTTTTATTAACTTTTTAAATAAAAAAGAATTTGCCGAAAATGTAGAGCAATTTCCAACGTTTGGTGTTTGATACTTTTTTGATATTTTTTTACTCGAGAGTAACAATTGTGGAAAATAGTGAAAATTGTATAAACTGTTTAACATTCGGTGGCATTAGTTGATAATATTTAAACTATACTTTTGCAACAACCTTTTTTGCGATACAGCTGCGACGACTGACTATACACAAATAAAATATTATACGTCTTGGTACCTTGACGCTACAAAATATGCTTACCCGGTGAATTGTGAAATTTAGTACCTATACTTTTTTATGTAACTTAATAGAAGTTATAACAGTAAATCGTTTTTACATTATTTTTATTGTAGTTTAATAAATGAAAAAAAAAATAAAGAAACAATCTGTATTGCAGAAAATATAATGACGAATTGGTCATTCGAAAAAGAGTGGAATACCACAAAAAACTGTTTTTAAAACAGCCATTAGAGGTTCTATTTTGTTGAACAGTTCAAATATAATTTGTCTGTCTCCAGAAAATATTTTTGGGAATTATTGATATTAAGTATTTCACGACATCAGGTGACATTTTATTGTTTTAAGTCTTAAGATTAGACCGAAGGTAGATCTAAAAAGGGACCAAGACATACACACTTTTTTTAAAGACCAGTAGTAATTTTTTTTTTTCAAAGAATCACTCCATCGCCCTTAAATTCAGGAATCACTAATCAATACTTTCAAATTTTTCTACTTTTAAACTTTGACTAGCGAGAATAATTTTTGGAGCAATGTTAATACGATGTGGCCACTTAGAAAAAATAAAACACATTTTCGAACAATTGTGTTTTTAGCTAGTTTTAAAAATAGACGCCTAAGAAATAGTTTCTCTCTAGATGTAAGTCCAAACTTATTTTTGTGGTATTTATGTAGTTTGCATCTCAGAAATAATACTTTACAATTGAATGTATCATTTAATAGTAAAGTAGAATTGCTATACTTAACTAAATTTTCCAACAAAACTATCTTAGTCAAGCTAGCCCTTTCCCCTTTCACGCACATATGCAGTCATCATCTTTAAAGTGCCAGGGGCGTGAGCATTATTATCCAGTCTTGTAAATATAAATTGATTTGATATGTCATAATGTATTAATTTGTTCAAAGATACTAACATAGGTTAAGTTTATATGAGATAATTTTTTTTAATAATATAGAACTCGCCTTATAATAATGAGTACCTAACGTCGACAAATACGGAGTCTTTAAAATTGTATGACTTATGGTCGATTTTCTAAAATTATGAAAAAACAATCTATGTGAATCGTATGTAAGGTCATTTTAATTTTTTCCCCCTTCGGTAGGAATATTTAGAGAGGGGTGATTTTGGAATCTCTTATAGCCTGTATAGTAATTTAGGTATGAATGATAAGCTATTTTTATAGTAAAAATTAATTCGATTGAACTTTGAAGTTTATAACATAAATTAAAAGAGCCGTAGCCTTTTGAAATTTCTTTTAAAAAACTGTGCGCGTGTTGCGAGTAATAGCAGATAAAGTGAAACTGGAGTTGGTAGAATTTAATGTTGGAATAATAATTAATATTTTATATAACAGGGTATATTAGTCACAATAGTATTATGTTGTTTATCATTATAATATAAATGAGTATGTTGCAATAACGAGGAAATAGTTTAGCCAAGGGTTCGAGTCTTATTATCAGTATAGCTTTTACGAGGAACTTGTGTTAGTGTCACACTGTTTATTATACTCTATGTTATAATATAATCTATAATAATTGTGATTACTTTATGCAATCACTTAATTTATTTTTGCTGTGTTTATTATTCAAATACCAAACCTTTCCACTCGCAATTCCTCTTATACGATATTAGTTTTATAGTATTACAACATTTAAGGCATGAAAAAAATATACTTAATATGTACAATCAAATTAAATTAGAAAATTATTTTATTTCATTCGCTCAGCGTTAGTTTTAGCCATATTTAAGTATTACAATAATTATCGGGTGACACGAATTTGAACTCCAATTTGTTGAAGCATATTGAGTACGCGTCAAGCACGTTTCTAAGTGGATGAAATTGGTTAAATTTTATACCATAACTGGATTATGCCCCACACTATCAATACGTTCTCGATGGGCCGTCCAAAATATTGCCAAGATTGCATTAGAAAACTTTCAAGACTATTCTCAGTGGAAACGTAAACTAAACGATTGATTAGTTGGTGCTTGCTTGTATGTTAGGGAGTTGAGTAGTCATGTAAAAAATTAACATCGTATGCGTGTAAGTAGCCATATGTCCAAAACGAAAATGTCGAGAGCATTAGAGAGTGTCGAGTTAAAGTATGTTCATAATAAACCTTACGGAGTTTAGTTTTTCCAAAAAACCGTGCTAATTCAATTTAACCTTGTATATTTCAATCATGGTGGTTACCATGTAATAAAATTTGATTAATCAACTTAATCGCGCACACAAAATTTCATAACAATCTGTCCAGCCGTTTAGGAGGAGTTTGAATACTTACACACGGACAGAAGAAATATATATATATATACATATTTAGATAATAGCTGGCCAATATTAATTAGCTATACCTTGTTAGTTTAAAATTTAAGGTCTATTATTATTTCAAAATTCGAACTTTATTAAATATATTGTACAAAAAAAAATGTCTACATGGAGAGATGTAACAATATTAGACAAGTGCGTCAAAAAATTGAAGAAAGCAATAAAGCGAGGATGCTACAAGCCGTGCTGTTACCATGCATATTGTAGGAAGACTATTATCAACCGGAATTGCCTGACACAATTGGAACACGAACAACTACTATCTACACCAAAAGGATACATATTTGTGGGCGATGCGCAAAGAAGAGCCGAACTAAAAAAATGCACGAAAGATAACATGAATACCAGACTCGACACAGGCGACATGCGACCAACGTAGGGAACTTCTTGGACTGATATCTAGCTATGTTATGTTATATCATATTTAAGTTTTTCAGAGTTGCATCAATGCCAAAACAGCATACGATAGCAAGTCTCTGCAAATATTTTAACAGTCTTGAAATACAATGCAACTCGCCGGCTTGGCGACAAGAATTCATAAGCACCGTGATGAACAGCGTGCTGCAAATAATCACCAGTGATATAAGTGTAGTAAATACTTCTGAGACAGCCAACATTATTCTCAAAACTCTAGATAGTATTACTAATAGTAAGACAACTATGTCGTCACCCAAAGACCGATTACAAGAAGTGCAGGTATACTTGTCTTCGGCGTTAGCGCCTTGGTTAGAAAAGCCGACAGATAATATATGTGCGGACGCAGGGAAAACAATTAGTAGAAAAGTTAGTAAAGCTGGAGCTGATGGAAAAAGTGGCACAGGTGTTGCAGGTAGAAAATACGGTAAATCTGGTGCTGATGGGAAAGGTGGTAGAGCTGGTGTTGGTGAAACAGATGGTAATACTGGAGGTGATGAAAAGAGTGGTGGTGAAGGAAGATATGAAAAAAGCGGTACAGCTGGTGTTGGTGCAAAAAGTAGCAAAGGTACTTATGGTGGAAAAGGTGAAAAAGGCGGTAAAGTTGGCGCTGATGGAAAAAGTGGTACAGGTGCTGCTGTTGGGAAAGAAGGTAAAGCTGGCACTGCTGAGAAAAGTGTTAGAGATGCTGATAGTAATAAAGGCGGCAAAGTTGGCGCAGATGGAAAAAGTGGTACAGGTGCTGCTGGTGGTAAAGAAGGTAAAGCTGGTGCTGATGGAAAAAGTGGTAAAGATGCTAACAGTGGTAAAACTGGAGCTGATGGAAAAAGCGGCACAAGTGTTGCAGGTCGAAAATCTTATAAATCTGGTGCTGATGGAAAAAGTGGTAAAGATGCTAACAGTGGTAAAACTGGAGCTGATGGAAAAAGCGGTACAAGTGTTGCAGGTAGAAAATCTTTTAAATCTGGTGCCGATGGAAAAAGCGGTAGAGCTGGTGTTGGTGAAACAGATGGTAATACTGGAGGTGATGAAAAAAGTGGTATAACTGGTGTTGGTGGTGCTGAAAAAAGTGGTAAAGGTGGAAAAGGTGGTAAAGCTGGAACTGATGGTAAAAGTGGCACAGGTTTTGATGGTGGAAAAAGTGGAAAAGGCGGTAAAGCTAGCGCTGATGGAAAAAGAGGTAAAGATGTTGATAGTGAAACAGGTGGTAAAGCTGGAGCTGATGGTAAAAGTGGCACAGGTGCTGATGGTGGAAAAAGTGGAAAAGGCGGTAAAGCTAGCGCTGATGGAAAAAGAGGTAAAGATGTTGATAGTGAAACAGGCGGTAAAGCTGGAGCTGACAGAAAAAGTGGTACAGGTGCTGAAGATGGAAAAGGTGGTAAAGCAGGGGCTCGTGGAAAAAGTGGTAAAGATGCTGATGGTGATAAAGGTGGTAAATCTGGAGCTGATGGAAAAAGTGGAACAAATGCTGCTGGTGGAAAAAGTGACAAAGCTGGCACTGGTGGAAAAAGTGGTAACGATGCCGATGGTGGAAAAAGCGGTAAAGCTAGAGCTGATGGAAAAGGTGGCACAGGTGCTGATGGTGGAAAAGACAGTAAAGCAATAGCTGATGGAAAAAGTGGTAACGATGCCGATGGTGGAAAAAGCGGTAAAGGTGAAGCTGATGGAAAAGGTGGCACAGGTGCTGATGGTGGAAAAGATAGTAAAGCAATAGCTAGTGGAAGAAGTGGTAAAGATTCTGCTGGTGGGATAAATGGTACCGCTGGTGTCGGAACTGGCGCTGATGGAAAAAGTGATACAGCTGGTGTCGGTGCTGGTGGCACAAATAAAAATACTGAGCATGAAACAACTTACCCAGACATCCATTCTTCAGGAAAAGATAACGAAAAAACTATGAAAGACATGAGCCATCGTCCTGGAGACCAGGACGGCAGACAAGAGTTGGATAAAACGGAAAAAGACGATGGTAAGTAATGTATTAGTACATTATACATGTATTAGTACTAAGGTTGATAAGAAATGTATTTTTAGATGGACGTCTTGCCTTAGAAGTGGAACATGAATTTCAGGCCCACATGTCTGAACTATTGGCTGAATGTATTAGGAAACACGAGACGCGGAAAACCCAAGCTCAACCGTCAAAAAAAGGTGTAACGTTTACGGATAAAACGGATCTAAAAACCACGTGCCCTGGAATAAATACCAAGGATTTACATTTGAGGAAACAAGACGAGTTAAAGGTAATATCATTATAACCACGTTCAAATTATACACTACTTTAGATAGTTCGGTAGCTGTATTTAACTTTAATTCGTTAAGTAAAGAAAAGTTATATATTCACCAAGAACTATGCGTTAGTATTCTTAGTGCAGTTAATTGGAATAATTGAATTTACCTCATATTAGAAGGCTTAGCAGGAACCCAAATTGCAAATTCATAAGACTAAACAGACTTATATATTAGAAATTAGTTTTGAAGAGACATTTTGGAATTAAGGATAGGGCGAAGGAGTTGTAGCCTGATAATAGCTGAGGGTTTTTTTAGATGAAGACCCCAGATTAAACATTTATCTAACGTTACACCTAAATATGTATTTTATTTTGTACAGAAATATGGGTTTTATTCATAATTAGCTTTAGACAATCTCAAAGAAATCTCTTTAATTTAAAAGTGACTTGCGCAAATTGTTCAGCATTTATTTTAATTCGCCATTGTTTGATCTATGCGTTAATTTTATTTCCATGCTAACTTGATAAGGATTTTAACTAGTCACAAGAACAACAGTGTTGACGGTGTATATTAAGGAAGAAGTCAGTGAGTAGTATAAAATATCTGCCGTAAAAACTTTGTAATGATCAGAAGATAAACATATTTGGTGAGTAGATGATAGATCATTATCCTGTCACACGACAAATATTTTCTGAGTATGGTTTTATAAAAATATAGTACGGAGATAGCAATAAAAATTTTAATTTGTATAATACGCCATATTCAAATGCTTGAGCACAGTCTAAAAAATCGAGGGGTATATTATTTACTAAAAACTTAATTTTGTCAGAAGTTACAGTATACATGGCTTAATACATAGGTCATGAGCAAAGTATGTTTTTTATCGAAGCTTGGGCGTTTGGGAAGATAGTTTGAATGTGTTTGGCATTTTTCAACTAATAAAATATATCATTATACTTGTCGGCGGTAGCTAAGAGTCCATTTCCTTGTAAATTTTTCCCTGGATCTGAAATCTTTTGGAAGTTGCTTTCCAAGTCGAGCCATTACAGCTTCGTTAAAAAAAAAATGTTCATATTTGTGCATTTACAGTTAATAAGGCGTTTGATAATGAAGTTGTTTTTATAGTCTTAGTTTTGGCCAAATGGCTCTAGCACGACGAAACAAAATATGTAAAACTATCTAATATTAACGTTAATTGTGTGATGGTTTTGGGCAGGTTCGCACGTGGTTGCAAAAGACGACCGAAGACGATGATTTCCTGTGTTCAACACAATGCTCTCTTGATTATGAATTTAATGGAAATAAAAGTGCTCCGTTATGCGATAAATTCAGATGTTTCGCGTTGAAAAATGATGACAGCCCTACTCGCCCAGTAACAACAAAGCCTGACAATAGTTGTGGTGTCCCAAAAAGTGAAGCCAAAGAGGGATACCTGCTTCGGTTAGACAAACAGATCCAACAAATGGAAAATGCATGTAAGTTACGCGATCGACAATTTTTAAAGATCCTCAAAAAAGGATCATATTGAATCGCAAGAAGAATATTAGGATTCAATTCGGATCCATAACACCCAAAACGCTTAATCTCGTATTCATTTTTAGCTAATAAACACAAAATTTAAAATTAGAAATTTTAATGTGTAGACAAAATGTATAGAACAAAACATTTTTAAAAATATCATTCAATAAATATGTACATAAATTTATTGTAAATCCATTTTTAATTTTTTTCGCGTATGTTAATTTATTGTTTTTATGGCTGGAATATTTTCTAAAAATATAATACAAGGTGATTAACTTATCGTGAACCACTCAATATAATATATTTTTATTTTTAACCCCACTCCTCCCCTTAGTTTCTTTGATAGCAACTTTTAAAACTTAAATGGTAACGTATACAATTGAGAATAATGTACTAAAAACAAAAAAATGTAAGAAATTGAGATCCATTTGTATAAGAACATTATAGGAAAACAATTTAATTATTCATTAAATCCAATGAGATATTGAGTGGTTCACGATAAGTCGATCACACTGTACATTATATAATTTTATGATATTTTATAATATTTATAATTTTTTTGGTAGTACTTAACCTATATCAATTCGCCTAATAAAATTACACTGTCAATAGTTATAATGTATAATAATAAGAATTGTTTAATCTGTAATTCTTGTATTAAGGCACTTGACCCATCAACACTTTCACTGCGCTTGTCACCTATGACCGACAGTCCGACATTTCAACGTGTTGTATATAGTATTGGCAAACAGCTGTAATTATGTTTTTCAAAAACAGTTAAGGCACGATTGTTAACTTTAGACGATTTAATCTACACTATGAAATGGTCTTCCGGTGGAGATGATTTTAGTGGAAGTAGTTGGAGTGGAGGTGAAACGATTTTGGGAGATAGTTGGGATGATGATGAATAGGGCTAGGGACATCTTAGAGTTTGAATGTTTTTTGATAATCATTCGAAATATAGCTAATTAATATAGAAATTTGTTTTATAGCAATACTTAGTTTATATTTAAAAAATATAGTTGCACATTTAACTATTTTTTATATAAATATTTTATTTAAATAAAATATAATTTTAAATAGATTTCCTGGACCTGAGATACCTTAGTTTGATGGTTTTATTTATACATAATACATATTATATAAAATTAGTGTTTGTGTTTTCCTGGCCGATCACTCGCTTTGCCTAGACCAAAACCAAAAACTTATCTATCGGCTTAACAAGTTTGTAAAATAATTCGGCAAAACAGTATTTTCGACAGATAAATCCGTTTTGTATTGTAAAATATGTGACATTAAGGTTAGTGCTGAGGTAAGAAATTTTGAATGCATTTAGAGTTTTTATGCAAGCTTCTGTTTATTAATAATTAAATATCACGGGATAGAGATTTTATGATAGCCACTTTATTCAGATATGTGTCTTTCGTTTATAGACTGGTATTCTTATAATAATTTATCGAAACTCAAAATTAAAATATTTTTGGGATTGCATGCAGTTGGTTTTAAAGGGGTTTTGTATAGGCATATATTTAGGCAAAAAGTGGTTTAATTAAAAAGTGGTATTAATTTTCGACCATGTTAACTAATTTTCCGGTTATTTTGTGTGGCTTCAAGGTACTATTTTTTATTTACATACAATTTCTTTTATTAGTAAAAGTTATTTTGGCTTATTTTAGACCAAGAGTTAAACAAAACATTAGGATGGTCCAATTTCAACTCTGTAAAGAGATTCTAGTTCTTTGGCTACTTTACTGTGCTATGTAAGAAATCGATTTTCATTTTAAAATTTCAGTTTCTTGTAATTAAATTAATTAAATTTACAATTTTTTCAATATTAAAATCCAATTTTTTTACATAAAAAATCAAAAATGTTTCCTACATAACCTAGTGAAGTTTCCAAATAACACAAGTATATAAGTCAAGGCATAAGAACAATAATTGGACCAAGAAATCCAAGAAAGAGAGACTACTTTGGCGCACCCCACACATAATATACAGATGGATGAAGTGCGGAATGATCTAAACCTTACTAGGAATAATTAATAATGATGAAGAAATGGCTTCAGATGGGGAATGATATTCTGTACAATATGGTAAAAAGGATCAAGTATCTGTTTAAATCTACACATAAGCAACAAATGTGATTATAATCGTGATTAAAATTATTTATTATGAAATTCATTAAACTATTTGATAGCTATTAGTGCAATATGAAATAGAATATTAGTGCGATATGAAAAGACTATTTCAATAAAATATCAATGGTACTATTTCCCCCCCCCCCCGCCGTTAATCCAATAGTAAACATAATGATATAATTTTTTTTTTTGCGGACTTCAATCTAGAAAGATTTGCGATCACACTTAGTGACACTGAGCTTTCCAGATGTTCTAGCCACTGATGTATGTATATTGAGATTGATTTGGAATTGTATTACATCACCGGCCATTGATACCGGTTGCCAAGACGACTCTTAAAATGTTTGCAGAAATATTGTACAGCAATAGTTTAATATGTGTCAAAATTGTATTACACCTTTAGTCAAACATATTATAACCGCGCTTTGTGTAGAATATAATTATAATAGGTAGATATTGTTACGGCGTGAACTGGCTTAAAACAAAAACTATTTGCAGTAAACAGTGTTGTTATGGTTGTGTTGAATGCGCAAACAGATTGCATATTCAGAAACAGAATTCAAACCGCATTTGAATATTTCCAATAAAATATCCATTTACACGCACACCCAGTCGCTTTTAGTGGAATTTGCTGTCTAATATTGTTTATTCACACAGCAAAGGTGTCTAAATAGTGGCACGAGAAAATTGAATACCAATAGTCTACGAGTAAAAGAAGTTATAAAGGTAAACAATGGCAAATTTAAATACTACTATTAATCCATCTACGTACAAACAAGAAAGCTCTAAACAAAAATTTTGTTGGGTGTGTTTTGAAACCGACGATGATGAATTCGAAGGCAGAAGCGATTGGGTATCGCCATGCAAATGTCGGGGATCTACTCGTTGGGTACATCAAGATTGCGTTCAATGCTGGGTGGCTAAAAAACTAAAAGAAAACTCCACTATTAAAGTGCATTGCCCACTGTGTAAGACAGAATATAATATTATTATTATGTACGAAGTTAATTTCATTGTCAAGTCATTGAATGAGCTTGATAAAATATCCAATCAGTTAAGTCCATTTCTAATATTTGGCGTTGCTGTTGATGCATGTTATTTGACTGCAGCGTTATACGGAGCAATTACTATTATACAGGTAATAGGCAAAGAAGAAGCAATGATTATTTTGAAAGATACCGATCCATCTTTACTACTACTGATGTTGCCCGCCATACCGCTTTCTCTGATTATGAGTAGAACTATTAACTGGGAAGAAACTCTACTATTAGCAATTCAACGCTTTACTTTTAATTTTCCCATATTAAGAAATATTATGCCTTCAATTTTATGTGAACCAGTGAACATGGTAAATACAACTCACTCGGTACAGTTTAACTCGAGAACTTATGTAGCTTTATTGTTGCCGACAACAGCAAAAATAGTTGGAAATGTGTTGTTCCACTATAGTTCTTATTCAAATATTCAAAAAACCTTATTGGGTGGATTGGTGTTTATTGCTGTTAAAGGCGCTTTAACAATATATCAAAGACAACACAATGCAATACGAAATAGAACTCGTAAAGTTGCTGATTATCCAGATTCTGCACGATGACGAAGATTAACAATTCTTATCCAATCGATATTGAGTTTTAAAATCACCACTAGAAATTGTACATACAAGTACATATTGTGAAAAATAAAAAAATAAAAAATAAATATATTGTATCGCTCAGGAGTTTATGTTGTTTGAATAAAAATATTGTATAAAACGTTGTAAGACTTACAAGTCAACAAGTTTATAGTACATATCATAACCAATTTTTATTTTTATTGTATACAGTTTAAAAGATATATTAGATTTTTCAAGGTAAACGAGTTAAGAGGAAAAGAAAAAAACATTAGGTACACCTTGAAGAGTTATCAATATTTTTATACTTTTCCACTAGAAAATAAGATAAGAAGTGAACTATTTGATTTTTGTAAATGTGTTTTAGTTTATAAAAACCCATATTCACCAGAATAGAGAGTTTTTGTTTTAAGATAATAAAATATACAAATTCACTATGACCTTTTGTCGAGTCGTCTTAAAGCCAACGGTATATTTTATACGGAGACCGGCTTTAATTTTTTGTCCAACCCCAAAAAACAAAAAAAAAACGTTCTTTGCCAAGTACAGTGCGTTATATACCAAAGTCATTTCTAGTGGAAGATAAACCAAGAAGAGTAGTCGGTAACCCGGAACTGGTAGTCGCGTCGGAGTAGGAAGTGGCGGTTAAAAAATCCTTTGACAAAAAAAAAAGGGGGAAAAAAAGAAACAGTTACCGTACACTTCTTTTTCTTCTTCTTTTTGAGAAAGAGATGGGTTACCAATAAAATGCAAATTGCGGATACATTATATACATAAATTTGCGATTTGCATAAACACTATTTAAATATTTTTTCTGGGAAAATTTCTCTTTTTTCTCGTTTCCCTCCACTTTTGTGTGCTCACTGTGTCGGATATCGAAAAAAGTCTCATCTTATTTTAACCCAACCATAATATTGTCTTTATATCCGTATATTCTCTTTGAGCGAGCGACTGTACAGAGCATTGTAAATTATACGGTTATTAGGGTTAAAGAATTATTATAAATTTATGTCAAGAATTAAACTAGTTAATTATTTCTATTAAAAAATTGCACTTTTTAAAGTTAAATTTTTATTTTTATTATGATATTAATATTGTATTATAAGGATTTTCCCGCCAAATGGTTTTTTTCCACATAATTTAAATTTGAAAGATTTGTATTCATTTATTTACAGGGTGATATTTTTATTATGAACCAGTCAATTTATATTAATTAATATTTGGATTTTTTTTACAAACGTGATCTTTGTAAAAAATTGCCTACACTTTACTCCTTAAAAATGGGCGATGAGGTGTGCTATGTCCATTTTTTTTCAAAACCGTGATTTTGGGAATACCTGAATTCGTAATAAAAAACTGAATCGAATGAACACCAGAGAAAGAGCATAAAAAATTGTTTAACTACAATTTACCGTAAAATTCTGTCTTATGTTGATGCTATTACTACAAATTTGTTTGTTTCAATTGACTCAATTACTTTTGGAATCGCTTATCTCAGAATGTGCTCTTAAAATGTATAAGAAATTACTCCTATTTATTTAATGTACTTTATTTTGAGAAACTTGTGTACTAGATGTTGTTGTTGTAACAGGAGAAAAGATTACTCTTTATAGGAGATGGGAAATTATTAGACAAATCATTTGGACAAATTAGCTAATAAAGTTAATCCATTATGAATATTTGCATCCTTAAAATGACAAGAACAAACAAAAGCTCCCGGTCCTAGAATATCTGTCCACTTAATACGTATAGTAATATTAATATGTATAATTTATATTTTCGACAAAACCTTATTCAGTAGCCATACCACATACTTGATTATTTTTATCCATTTACTTCTCCTATCACCTATGTATGTTCTTGGGAGATAAGAAAAACACTAATATGTTGTAATGTTTACAACTGTAAACCCTACAAAGCATTTTGAATTATTTTATTTTTGTGATGACTAATGACTTTAAGAGGAACGGAAAGCGTCAATTTTTTTTTACAAATAAAAATTAAAACGAAGTCATTTTCTGAAGTGTCTATCAGACCGATTTCAATTTTTTTTTTTTTGTGTTACATAGTTTGCATCTTTTTTATGGAGACTAAAAAGTAAAAAGACGATTTTTTATTTTTGTTTTCAACAAAATTTTATAAGCATTTAGATTTTTCTTTTAGCTTCGATGCGGAGCTGAGAAGGTACTGTTTTTACAATGATGTGTTTTTATTTTTATTTTTGTGTCTGGACCCACGATATCTTGTAAACCGCTGAACCGATTTCTTCGTGTAGCAACTCTATAGATCAGAAATCATACCTGGAAGGTAATTTTTCGGGGCAAAAAATAAAAAAATATTACCCCTTCCCCATCAAAGTCAAGAAAAACACCCAAAAAATGTACAAACTTTTCAACTTAAAATTACGATGCTCTATGGCTTTTTTAAAAATAGTCGAAAATGTTCCAAATGTATATGAATTGTTCTTCAAACATAGTACAACCGATAAACATTAACAAACCAAAATAATATCATAAACCCTTTTCCTTAGAAGGGATAGAATTGTTTTCTTTATTTCACCTTTTCAAGCAAAGTTTTGAAGATTTAGATCTGAAAATTAGACCGAAGGTAGATCTAAAATAGAACTATAACATATACAATTTTCTCAAAAATCTGTAGTCAATTTTTTTTTTTTAAGGAAAAACCCCAAAAATAGGGTAAATTTATACTTTGGTCGTAGTCAGTTTCTAGGTTGCTATGTGTGTGAATCAACAGTCAACAGGTAATGAAAATATTTTCATTATATTGTTAATTACGATACATGAGTAACTATGGCAATACATTTTTATTAACAGACGATTAACCCTTATCGTATTCACCCTGCATAAGCCTAAATATTAAATTTTAAGTACATTATTGCTGGTCCCACGATATCTTCTAAACCGCTATAACTGGCTTGAACATACTATCCACAGATTCGCATCGAAGCGTTTATTTAAAAGTGATATCACTTTATAACTAGTATTATAACTAAAAAAACTTAATATTTTTTCACCTAAAAATTAGTCAGCATATTAAAAGTGGCTATTAGATCAATTTTTGTCAAATATTGCCTATCCTTTGTCCTTTAATAAATAGTGCTTTCCGTTCCGCTAAGTTAAGATTTTGTAAAAAAATTGCCTATACCCTACTCCTTAATAAATGAACTGAGCGGCGTCCTCTTAAGTACATAATACGTAATATATTATGCTAACGATTAAACCTTATTTGTAAAAAAATATTTTACTCATTTATATAAATCAGAAAACATTGAAAACAATTTTAAGTTGTTTTTAATAATTTATGTTGGACGTTATATTTGTTAGAACGAACATTATTGGAATAATTTAGTCTTTACCTGACTTATATTTTATTCTTGGTCCAAAGATACTTTGTGTCAATTATTTCTTTTTACCTTTAACTTCCACGAACGGCCGTTGTAAGTTATTCCACAATACTGTTTTGATATAAAACGTTAGTTCCACAAGACATCTGTTCCATAAATCGTATGTCTAATGTTTTTTTGTCCCAATATCTTTTTGTTCCACAAATTGTTTGGAACAATTTTATGTTCATTGCAAGATAAAATATGTGCAACAAATATTACCGGCTTTTGAATTGGAAAAAAACAATTTTCATGAATTTATATTTTATTTGGATATTTGGTAATCAAGTATACCTAAGTTATTAAAATTTTATGTGATAACACAATTCCGAGTGATAACGACAATCGCTGATTATCAATTGTCGGTCTTGTTCTCACTAGTTTTACCTCGGAACTGATCAATAACTTGGATAATCGTCAATCGCTAGTTTATATTCTACCTACCTAAAGTAAAAATGCATTCTTTTTAAATAAACATATTTCTTTTTATTTTATTAATATTTCATATTTCTCAGCTATAATTGTTATTACTACATTTGTTTTCGTTTAAAAAAACTATTCATTAAATTACAGGTATTCTATTCGCCGTCTGTATTGTGGTTTTGTACATCGGTGTATTAACTTAACTCTTCAAAAAGAAGTTGTCGAATACAATACTTCTACTTTCTACACATTATTTCAAAATAGATATTATCACCATATTTTACGGTGACAATGTTCAAGCAACTATAAGGGTTTCAATTCTGTGAATGTAAGTATTTAATTAATTCTTTTGTGTATATTTTAACCCATTTCTAGGACGCCCACGATTATAATTTTATTGCCGTTGGTGTTTATGTACTAGTAATTTGGTTTTATTTTAAACAAATATAAATCTAACATTACATTATCAATTAAATAATTGTTGCCTCGCCCACCTAGCTAACAAATTATATACTCTCCAAAATGACGTGATTATTTATTTATTTTGAATGTATCGCATGACAGTTAATAAGTATCTTAAAATCATAATTCAGCTTAACGAAATGGCATACATAGTACGTAATATTATAATGTTTGCATATTGAACGACTAATGGCCATTTTCTATTATGGAGTTATGTAACAGATTTTATGTTCTTAAAATATTATTATTAACTAATAACCATTGATAAGATTAACATATTAACCGTCAGTCTCCAATTAAATAGAAATAACAAGATATTTCATATTTTTAAATTGAATTGCTTTATCATTTGATTTTCTGTAAGAAACACTTTAAATACTAATTCTAGAATTTAGTAAATTACTAAACTCGTAAATTGTCTAGATACAATATACTACAAAAAGTATTTGAAGAATAAATAACTAAATTCAATAAATAATTTATTGTGGTCTTGTTTTAACATTTTACTTATAATTGACATTTTAAGTAACTTACAAAAAAGAATCTGGAGGCGTTCGCTCTTGTTTCTCTGATACATTTTGGTATAATATTATCGTAAATTGTTGACAATATATAATTTTTGTTATAATAATGTGATAGTCTGGCCGTTTCTCAAGCTCGTCGGGCAACCGTCTAGAGAGAGAAATGGCCACCTGACTGGTGCGGAAGGTAACAGGAAACCACCGAACCACACCCATTTCCCCAGGATAACAACTCTTGTTTCTCGTAGAGCAAGAGTTGTCGAAACCGACTTAAGCGGGTCGAGAACTATAAAAAAAAAATTTGATAGTTATTTTGTTTCTATAATTAAGTATGTTATTTGATAAATATCTAATTATATTAGTATAATAGAAAATGTGTACATAATGTTGTATCCTTGATTGAGTGTGCCGAACAAAAAATAACCATTTAACGTAATCAGTGTATTTATTTAACTGAAAACTCAATAATTAACTATAATAAAAACCGTATAATATAACTTTGCGAGCTAATGGGCGGTTTATATCTGTCAGTCATACAAAATAAAATCTAAAGTATGAAATAAATAAATAACATTATAGTTAAGAAAAACCCTAAATAAATTACTTAGACACAATTTACCTTGTATATGTATTAATTTACACAAACATTATATGCTGTACATTTTAGAAAATATATGACTTGATAACTAATTTGTTTGGAAATACATCAGTGGCAAACAAGAAAGCTACTTAATAAATTTGTACTAAGCTAAACTTTTATCAGTACGAGAAATCTAGTTTTGGTTTTAAGTTTTGCTGATAGGTATTGATAGTTTTAAATTGGAATAGTAGTTTCTTGTGTCTTAATAGCCAAACTACTTAAAAAAACTATGTATTTTTTTTTTAAATTAATTATTAATTGTATATTAATATTGTTATCAACTATAGTAGTTATTACTTATTGACAATATTAAAAAGTAATTGACTATTCACGGCTATAATTTTATGATACCTACTAAGGTTAGTTTTTTTCAAACAAACAGCTTTAAACTTTGATAATTAATATAAGCTGTACAAAATGGTGCTTACAATATAATTTGTTTTTTTTTTCATATAAGATAAAATATGAAAATCCCTAACCTAATCTGTTTTTTTTAATATCAAATTACGTATAGTTGTAAAATATAATTTATATAAAAATAACAACACTGTTTTGTACAATAAAGGAATACAATTTTTTTTTAGAGAAACAATATTCATAATATAATTTTACAAGTATCACGGATTCATAACCATAGATAAAAATTTGGTTTCTTGACATATGTCTGAATGAATAATAATTATATTGAGATATTATTACATTTTTACTCGTTAAAAATCTTTAAAACTCTTTTACAATATTTTTTTAAAATGTTTATTGCTGCACTAAGGAGCAATTTATATATAAAATCATAAACTTGTACAGAACTTGGAAAAAGCTATAGCTGTTTTACAAGACATATTTTTAATCTTTAAATTTAAAAATTTTATTTGGCTTACGATATTAGAAATGACAAAGCTATTGCTTGTTGTCATTTTGTTTTATCAAGTATAACAAAATTTGGTCAACGCCATTAGCAATATGTTAAAAATACTGCGTATTTACTCAGTACCTTATCGGTCTGTATTTTGACCTCTAAATCGTTTCGTTGTAAACTATAAACAAAATCCTACCTACCCTTGAACATGTCTGTTATTACTGTTTAAGCTTTAGTTTTATAAATTGTGTGATTCACAGTTAAGCAACGCAGGAAAATCATGGGGGGAAGAGCGTCCAAGCTGTTTAAGAGTTTTTCGAATCACTCAGCTAGTGGCCAAAGCCTACCAACCGACGACGAATTTGGCGATCTAACCTTTAATGAAAACCTCCAGCAGCAGCAGCAACAATATCAGTATTATGAGCAACAAAAACAAAGACAACAGCATCAGCAAGAGTTCACCAATAATTCCGTTAGCCCATTTGTCCATTACAGAAGAGGGTAACTGTGTATTTTATTGTAATATGTTTTTTGCCCCGTACATTTTTTTTAGAATTTCCTATTTTGTTTTCTCTAGATCCATGTACATAGATGAAGACGGTGACATGGCGCACGAGTTTTATGTTGAAGCTAAAGTGGGCACAAAAGTCACTCTCAAGAAAATTAGTAAAAACTGTTTGAAACCTCAGGTAAACTAATGTAAATCATTAAAACAAAATAACAATAAATTATTTTTAATTTTGAGATTAAAAATAACTTCTTGAGTTTTATATAACATTAAGTGTTAGCAAAAAAAAAAAACACTGGGTTTTTTTTCTTTAAGCCCAGAAAATGTTTGGTGCTTACCGAAAAATTATAGTTTATATTATAGTTTTGAAAAAAAAAGGAGTGGTCAACTCTGTAAATGATGTAATATAATTCTTACCAATAATGTATCAGGCGAAATTTCTTATCTATAATCCAGTCACTTTAAGAAAAGACCTTGTCGTGTCGGCGGCGACTGGTTTCCATCCAGCAACATCGTCATAGTTTGGCACCGCCTACTGTGATATGACCTGCATGGCGACAAACGAGGTATTGGTGTATCTTCTTAAAGTGACAGGAGTATATAGACTTGCTATATGAAGAACGGTTCAGAGGCTTAAAAGAAATTGTGGGTCGACATAGAAAAAAAAACCCCATCATTGTAAAAGCAATAGCTTCGCTTAAAAATAAAAAATTTCTAACACTGTTAGAAAAATTACATAAAATACAAAGCATTTAAAACTAAAATTTGTCATGTTACATCTATAATTTCTTTGACAATTTTAAACATTTTTTTCTTATTTTCCCAAAATTTCAAAAAATGTAAATAAGCTTGTGTGAAAAGAAACAGATAGCCATTAATTTTAATTGAAAACTATATATTATATATTATTCTAGTTGCATTAGCATTATATTTATAGTATTTTAAGTAACATTCATTGGTCCTAGTTCAAAGTCTGTTAGAATGACGTCTCAAGTCTCAACGTTAATTACCAATCCACATTGGTATTATTTTTTAGTTGACTATTTATCTTCACCGACTTTAATTGCATAGTCAAAGGAGATACATATGTGTAAATACCTATTCTATAATAACTGTCTGAAAATGTCTGATTGTGTTTTAGGGTGACGTCCGATTGGATACCCCCTGCATAAGGAATGATTACCCCGTGGTGCTGTTGGAAGAGCAGAGCACCAAAGCAGTCAAGGGATAATGATAATGGGAAGACGTCTTACTCCTGGTCGGCGCCTTTTGATCAAAGGGAGTATGAGACAACTACTTCAAGTCTCTGTCGTCATTATAATATACCATAACATAACTATTGTATTGTCATTGTGATATTTTCGGTTCCCTTTGACTGTCGTACAATCAAATAATATAACGTCAAGTAAATTTAGTTTGTTTTGCCGGCCAGGAGAACGTCGTGTCCACCTTGCGCGTGACACGTTAACAACTAACGTCCAACTGAAATACACCAAAACCTACAACGCTTATCTACTTATCCGATATAAAATATAGTATACAATTATAAAACATATATTATGGTAGTGTGTGTGTGTGATAATAGTCAGTGTATGAAATGCAATCACTGTATTTATTATGTACATAATATTGTTAAATAGCGTAGTAACTATGTTTGTACGTTTCCAAAGGACTTTTGTTTTGTTTTTTGTTATCTAACTTGGTACTCACAGAATACCAATATTGGCCTTTAAACTGGAGTAGATTCCGATTAAGTGTATTCGTTTTGTGTACTAATTAATTACTATAGTTAGCTGTTATTAGCTAATCAGTTAATTAGTTAAAAGTTATTAGCTTAAAAATAATTAAATATTACTTGTAATATTTTATCATTACAAGATTTTTTAATAGGTAGCATAAATAGATACTAAATAGGTACACATTATTTGGCTCTGTATATTTTCATTAAATGTTATCAGATTATTATTGGATTCATTGTTTTCATGTGTTAGAGCTTAATAAGTTTATTTATTTCCGGTCTCTAATTTAGTCATTCTATAATTTTTTTTACCAAGTTTGTTTTGTGATTGTTTATAGCTATTAGAGTTGAAATAGAATTTTAATTGTTGTTTAGAATTTAGTCGTCGCCCGTGTGGTTATTTATTCGATTCGTTTTGATTTAACTATTTATGTAAACATTAACGCATTGGCACCATTTGGGGTTCATTTTTAGCTCCATAGGTGCTATTTTCTCTCACCGTTGATCCATTTTTACCTATTTTTTTTTTTTTTTTTTTTTTTACCTAATTTATAAAAAAATTAGTACAATATACAACTTTGTAATTGAACCATTAGCGACCCAACAAGGTATATTAGGCAATGCCGGACACCTTGCCCCCTTCCCCAAGTGGTGTGCCTGAATTAATGCCAATACAAACGGCGCTAAATGTACCTGTTAAGCGTACTGATACTGTTTGTGTTCGACATTTTTTATTGTATTAATATGGTTGAGTGTAACTAATTATATAAATATTGTATATTTCGAGTATTTTATTATCCAATAAGTAATAATATTTAATTATATAAAGACATTTTTTTTCGAAATTTACTAGTTATAAGTGACGAAGACTTAAAGATATATACATTACGTGTCAACCAGTTACAGCGTTTGTCTAGCTTTAACGTTCTTCTCGCTATTAGTAAAAATGTGAAAAATTTGTGAATGTCTGCGCTACGTTTTTATTTATATATGTTTTTTTTTGATATTCTATTCAATAAACTTCATATTTATTATTTTCGTTTTTTTTTTTAGTTCATAACATATTGCTATGTCGATTTTTAAAAATCACAGAAAACTCTGGAACATTTGTAGCTGGTCGTTATAAGGTAGCACTTCCTATAAGTTTAAGTTACAAGTAATTACTCATTGTACTTTTTCCATGTCCACTAATAGAAACTGTACATGAGCTGAATAACATGTGAATTTTGTTTTAATAATACAAAAAGCCAAAAGGCCAATATTGTCAAAAACACAGACCAAAAAAAAAAACTGTACATTTTTTTTAAGCCCACTAAATTGTTTGTATTACCTACCAAAAAATATGGATTTTATTGGCATACACATTAAACCTTAACTGGGTCGGTCTAAAAAAAACTTGAATTATTGCCAATTATGCATCGGACATTTAATAATAAGTGTTTCGCTATTATATTATTACGTTTTGCGGAAATAATACAATAATAAACTGTTAATTGTTTCAGCATGTTATGAAAAAAATATGAATGAAAAACAACAAACCGAAGGAAAGTGATTATTATTCTTGATCAAGACTTTTATTCATTATAATAACTATTACTTTAAATCCATTGTACTTATAGGTAACTATTGAAAACTCGATTTTAATAGAAACGTAGTTGTAGAAAATTCACCTCGCGGTAGGCGCCTATATGTGCGCTGAGGCAATTTTCACACAAGTTTTGGACAAGTCTGAAGATTCTGGTAATCTGGTCCACGTACGACATAGGATCTAACTAATGTCTATAAATCAATCATCAATTTTAGGGTAAGATAACAAAAATAACGTTTAAATCAATATTTTGTTTTTTTCCTAACATGCTTAAATCACTGAGATATTACAGAAATAATTATCATTCACCATATACCATTCAACGATTGAGTGTTGTACAGAGTAACTTTTGCATAGTCAATTTTATTAATATTTTACAGTTAGATCTAGCGGTCAGCTTCACGTACATCTTCCGTTTGTATATGTAACGAAGTTAATAATACAATAAAGTTATAATAGAAAATGTATAATAACTATATGATGGAAAATGAGTGTAACAAATAAATACAATTTAAGAACGTTAAAAGTTATTTTATAACTTGTACAAATTAGTAAGCTACTACTTATAGAAAAGTTACAACTTTCGCGTGTAATTTCATACATGTACACCTAATTTAAATGTTTAACTTCGGTGTGCAAATATAGTTATATTAATATTAAATTATTTATTAGAAAAATGAAATAAGAAAATAGTTGGTTAATTTTTGTTCTAGTTATTCCGTATATGATTTGAGTGTATTAAAAATAATTGACTTTTTAGTACAACTCATATGTATCCATAACTTATAAAACGAAAAAAAAAATCGGGTCTACGTTTTTTTTTAAATTTGTATTTTATTGAATGAATTAAAAAAACAGACACATAATGATATTGACAATTATTGTATTATTGGTATTTAAACATTAGATTTGACTATTATGATAAAGTAACAGAAACTTGTATTAACTATGATAAACGTTATTTTTAAATGAATATTATTATTTTTAATTTTTTGCGTCGATCAAAAACGTAAGTACAGATTGATCTAGCTTTTTCTTTTTAACTAGGTACATGAATGTTTTCATAGAGAAAAGGTGTCCATAAATAAATGAATATAATAGAATTCAATTCCAAACAAAATTTTCTTAAGGGTACTATTAAAATATATGGCATACAAAATGGTATTTTCGACACCATAATATGATGTAATTTCTAGTCTCATATTGAGGCCCATTTTTTCATCTATGATTTGAAGTTGGCTGCTAGGCAATTCCATTACAGTTATACTTTTTTTCGTACAACATTTCGACATCTCTGTTTCGACATTGAAGGCATGACACATTTTTTTCAGCAAAACCATTCCATTAGTGTATGCATTTTTAAAATCGCCGTTTGTTTTGCAATTTAACAGCTCGCTGAACAGTTTTACGTCATCGTCGCTCTTTAAAGTTAACAATTGTGTGAACTTCTTGAATTGTTCGTAAAACAATAAGTTATATGCGCATTTCATTTTGTTTAGACTGCGCCTCATCCTTTGAACATGCGTTAAGTGTTTTATACACAACCTCAGCATCATTATTTTCAACGTTGAAATGAAATGATGGTGAACGTCCTGCAACGCTTTGACATGTTCTTCTAATGGTATAATTCTAAATGCAACCCATGTGAACTTATCATGTAAATATAATTCTAACCTGTGGTACTTAGGAATCAACCCAAATGTTCTGATCAAAGTGTTCATGACATCGTTATTATGTATCACGTTGTTTAAGTACAGTTTATCGACACTCAGGGATTTCACCATTATTGCCGTATGATTTTTTATTAAATCCTGTTCTAAATACGCGTTGGAATCGTTAACATTTAATAACAACATACGAGGATCATTTTCTCTAGTTATGTAATTAATGTACGATTCGTATTGACGGCGCTGTCCGTCTATAGTTACCATTACGGAACAATCCGATTGCAACCTCTTTCGCAATATCTCAAAAGTTTCATCCTGGAAATTCTCGTATCGGGCTGGATATGATTTTTCGTAAAACCACATTTCTTTTTCTACATAATATGTGCAAAAGAAAAACACCCACATGGCGCCCATCATTGATCTAGTTTTGGACAAATACACAGCCATAGTCACCAACATTTTTTTAGCCCAGTTGTGAAAGTCTGCCGATCTAGTATACTCCACCATCTCATCGCGCTTGTTGGTCCAAAGGAATTTACATAAATGGACGTGTAAAGTCGCGTGGTACAATAAATTGCATCCAATATTAAGACCTTTTTCTAAAGACCCGGGTGGTAAGGCATCGATGAAATTGTTCGTAAGTGATTCCAGACCGTATTGTGGACTTGGCGCAGTTGTGTCATCCCCTGAAATTTGGACCGCGTTGATTAAGACACAACCAATTACCGCGCAGCGTATTAAAAACCACGACATTTTAAAACCACGCTTTGAAAATATTTAAAAAGCACTAGTATTTAAAAAAATGTATTCATTTCCTATCATTCGTAGTAGATAACCTAGAAAAAAATTGGTAAATATTTCATTAGGTGTTGTGTTCCTATAGATTGTGTAAGCGAAGAAAATATTTTGTTTTGGACGACTATAGTTTAAATACAACCTAAATTGTGGGTGTATAATAAAAACACATTTTTTACACGTGTGTATTATATAAAAACAATTCAGACCACAATTTCCTTATAAGTTTTTACTCGGATCACAATTCACAATATAATATAATATTCTGTTTAAATCATACATTTTCGTATCTTATGGGAGAATAACAATGGTTATGTGTCAATAAAAAGGCAAGAGTATGTCTTGTACAGTTGTTACACGAGAAATCGTTGTGAAATGTGTTTGCCTGAACGACACTAGTGAGGAACACTATGAAAATAAGGGAAAAGTAAAATCATACTTGAATAGGTAAATAGATATTATATAAACAGTTAGATATAAATTGTGTCAAACTCTAAAATAGTAAACAATTTTGTTTCAACAACTAATAGTTGTTTGCAAACGGTGATATATTGTTTGAAATAAGATTTTATTCTCTCGTTTACTGTTTCAGTAAAATTGATTATTTAAAATAATCGATTTAAAGGATATCAAACTATTTATTTTTCGAAACATAAAATAATCGTCTTATGGATTCTACAAGGGAGATGAGATGTTTTACTATACAAAATATTCCTTATAAATTTCAACTCGATCCGACCGTTTTTTTTTCTGAAATTATAGCTATAAAAAGTTTAGACTATGAAGTATAAAATTTAACTTAAACTAGGTATTCGACTAACACCCATAAATTGTATACCAAATATTTTCTTTAACATATTAACGGTTGGTAAATAAAGGCATTAAGGTAGTAACATTGTGTGTTTAATAAGACATCCAAACATTAATTAATAATAAATCTATAACTATATCAAAAGCCGTTACATTCAGAAATAATTTTAAAAAGGAACCTTAATTTTAAATAGAGTACAAGGTTAAATATCTAAATTATTTAAAAAACTTCACCAAGGGATAATGTGTCAACATTTATGTAGTCTCCAAGAAAATATTATTAATTATTATAAATGCTTCGATGCCGACCTGTTGTAGGTAGATGTGTAGAAGTACAAAATTCAATAAAAGCAAGTAAAAGCTATAATGTGCATAAAATTATATTAGAGTATTAGGAGGATACGATTAGGGCTGATCATCTGTCTATAATAATTTGTCGTCGTTGTTACCCATCATTGTAATTAACAATATCATTAAATATATTTCTATATTTGTTTTTAATACTTACCAATTGACTGTTGATTCACTCACATATTATATCAACCTAGATATTTACTAGGGTCAAAGTGTTATTTTTACATTTTGTTTTGGTTTTTCCTCAATAAAAAAAAACTTGAATACAGATTAGTAAGCTTACCATATATGTCATAGCCCAATTATAATTTACTTTGAGTTTAATTTTCTGCCCGTAAGTTATAAGACTACCTACATCTAATAGGCCGTCGTAATTTTAAGTATAGGTATCCAAAAAATATGTTCGAAATTATAACTACCGAACAGTGTAGTTATATATTTTGATCACTAATTTTTGTTTTTAAACTTTAAAAGTAGTTTTGGTTTCTTAAATGGCACACGTGCTGTTTAGACTTGTTTTATATTATGTTTGTATGTGTAAAAAAAAAGCTAGAATTAGCTGACTAAAACCTTGATTAACATTTATAAAACAGAGTAGGTATAAAAAATCGTTTTCAAAAAATGATTGTAACTTCGTAACTCAGAAAATAATTATGGTAAATGACTTCTGATTTCACCTATTACTTTCAAATTAAAAAAACAAGTAGACTAGTGGAATAAAAAAATTAAATTTTGTCGAAGTTTTTCTGAAAATAAAACAGTCAATAAATGAGAATTTTACTGATATCATTCAAAGTATTACAGTCCTAGCCGTTAATTCTGATTGCATAAAAAAATAACACTTTGAAAGTAAAATATAACAAGCTAATAAAATATGTATAAAATATATGTATGTTGATTTTCGTTGTAACTTATAAACATATATTATCTAAACTACGAAAATCATAAGAAAAAGTAAATATTTTATAAATTATTGGATTAAATTCGAAAAATATAATAGTTAATAATTGTGAAAAATGCTTTCGAAATTTTAAGACAAAACATATACTATAATAACATTTATTTTCTGTTGAAAAATATACTTTGTATCTACAAATCTCGCAGTTATTTTTTTAAAGATTAATTGATTTATTTTAATCAATTTATCACATTAAAATAGTTGTTGTTCCATCTGAGTTTATGAATGAAAAGAATCAAAAACTATTTAAGTGAAACGGAAAGAATACATTTTGTCACTTTTTTAGATTACTATAGAACAGATTAAAAAAAAAAGTTATTGAATTATATGTATGGGGACTAAAAGTAGGTTTTAATTTTTGTTTATAAAATTGTATTAGGTATAAGTTTTTATATACTAATCTTTTTATTATTTTTATAATAAATCTACTTTTAACTACATTTCTAATAACTAAATAAAAAATCGCCTTTTTAGCCAAAGTAGTAAGAAAAAAAATTGAAATCTGTCAATACTAGTCGTACGCGATATAATTTATGAAGTGCTACTAGTTTACTTAAATACTTAAAACTAATAATAATGTTGTAGTATTTTTTATGTACATATTTTTATTAATATAATGAATGCATTTCTAAGGAGTCTAAATTTTGCTACCAATTAACTTATATCCTTGTTACTAACATTGTTTTTTTTAATATCTGAGAATAAGTTTCTTACCATAGTTCAGGACTATCCCGTGTTTAACTTGGGTGATATCTGCCAAAAAGTGTGCCCCAATTTACTGGAATATGAATTATGATGGACCTATGTACTACATGGTATGTAGTCCGAAGTGGAGATAACTCATTTTGTGCAATCAATTAGATATTTTATAATAATTTCCGATTTGATTTTGTAAAAAGCGAAATAACAAACATTATTCCTATAACAATAATAATACATATTATATAAGAAATTGCAACAAGTTATTTTAAAGAAAAATAGAAAAGAGGGAATCTTCAGACTTAAGTATAACTTATAAGACTACCATTAGGTAGGCTGTCTTAATAAAATATTTTTTTTCGCATTTATTTAGGTCTAAAGAAAAAAAATCACATAATTTATACAAACACAAAAAATAATAATAATAATTTTAATTATCACAGAGAACGGCTTGAAAAGTGTATTTTTATTTTGGGTTAAATTGTTTGTTTTTAAACAATTTAAATGGCCCGAAAAACTTGTTTAATATCTATATTTTCACGATAATAATATAGTCGCCATAATGACTGATAAGATATTTTAAAATTGCCACCAAAATTTTTTTTCCAGGAGATTAAACTCATCGATGGATGTTGATGTCGCTTGTTTTTTCTTTTCCAGTTGACATTATTTTACGGCTACAATTGTTCTGCCTAGCAAGTAGCAACGCCGTTCATTTGTCATTTCTTTCGACGCCATCGGCCATTGTCGCACACATTTTTCTTACAACGGTTCATCGAAAATGATTTTTCCTACTGCAGTTTTGTTATTTGGTAAGTATAGAAATTCGTTTTGTCCCCGCTAACTTTCTTTTTGTAAAATTGTACGTTAAAGTTGGTTTTTTCTTTAACATCGCTAATCGAAATGCGACTAGTGACGTTTGTCATGTCCGTATCATTACTTACAAAACACAACGGAATCGTTTCTTAACATGGCATCGCACCGCCCATTTTTAAGGAGTAAAGTTTGGGCAATTTTTTACAATATCTTAATTTAAAGGTTAAACTGTGATGTGTAATTATTAGTTCAATAACTAGGACTCTATTTTGGTGGTTGATTTATTGTTTGGACAATCGCAGCATCCTCGAAAGCGATTTAAAAATATTTTTTCATCTTTACACGTTTAAGCAGACTGAAAATAACTCGCTTAATTTTGGTTTTAGAGTAAATGCACTCATAATAAAATTAAAAGAGAACAATATTCCGGAGGGCAAGACGGTGCCTTTTTTTTCATTATTCCAAGTATAACGTAGTTATACATAGTTTAGAAATAACGACTATTTTAATATTTTTAAATGACTGTAACTTTTCAAAAAAATTTTTTTTTTTAAAAACGCATCGTCTTGCCCTCTGGAATATTGTTCTCTTTCAATTTTATTATGGGTGCTTTTACTCTAAAACCAAAATTAAACAAGTTAGTTTCAGTTGGCGTAAACATGTTTTTACCACTGAAAATCACCGGTGCGACGCCCTCTTAAGTAAAATTTGTTAGGTATCATTTTGCTTTAGATAACATTTCAGTTTTCTTTGTAAATGTGCCCGGGTAACCAAACTTATAGCTTTGCATCTTATAGTATGTGTTTATAATATCCTACCGTTTTTTCTCTACGAATACATCTTAATAACTGTAGTAGAATTAACTATTCAAATATATATTTTATAACAAGCTACCTTGATAGTATATGTTAACTTTATTTTATTGAAATTTCTAAAATACTTACAATAAATTATAGTTTCATATTCTCATAATTTCCGTTCTTTTTAGAATTAAACATTTCAATAATATAAAAGTCATAGCTGTAAACAGTATAAGTATAGAGAGTATTAGGGTATGTCTAGCTATAGAATAATTGTCTATTGTTAATTTACCAATTAAAAAAATTTGGGTTTTAAGTTTTGGGTTTGTTTATGTATTATTGTTCTTTATGGCCCTTAAAGAAATAAAATATTTATAAAAACCTTAATCCCTTTAAAGAACATAGGTACTAAAGCTACAGGAGTATACAACCCCAAGCTTTGCTGAGAATTTTTTAGTTTTAATACCTACACTATTTAATGTAAATAATATTATTTATTAGGTTAATTAATTTTTTTGAGTGTTTTTGATTTGGTTAAAAATTTAAATCGTCGGCCATATCAACCCACCTTGGTATTACAATAAGACAAATTGCTTTTAATATAAAAAAGACTCTTTAAATTTCCATTTGATGGACAATATATAGTAGTAAAAAATATATATATATTTGTATAAACAAAACTAAAATAGTTTTTGTTTAGTTTTTTTATATCTTGCAGTCTCAGTTTATCAAAAAAAATCTCTTTAATTAGATGTCTTGATTTCAAATGTTCTTTGCAAAAATAGGGAACATGACTTCTAGAGTAGTCGGAATCAGATTTTGTAAGATGGTGGATTCTAAAAATTTTAATTTTCGACACTATTACCCTTTTAAAAATAATAAAATAAGGGGTTTTAAGTTATCTTTTCTGAGAATAGCTATTTTTTTATAGAAAATCTGTGATCGCGATGGTCTGTAATATATAATCTACTTAAAAACAAAAAAAATCATATAAATCTAACCATTCTCCAAGAAAGTTATTAAATAAAACTTTAGTTGTATCTCTTAAAAAATTCAAATTTAAAAGTAGATAATACAAAAAAAAATAGTTGTTCACCATTTAATTAATCACGATAGTTGAAATTCCTTCTAGAATAATATAAGTCAAATTTTACTTATGTTTTGCCTCTTGCAAATATATATAACCAGCGTCTTATTATTATTGAAGTAGTGACAAATTGAAGAAATTTAAATGTGTATTGATAAATATTAATTAGTTTAATAATACCAAAAGTTTTGTATAAATTATTATGTAAAGAACAATTTATGATTGCAGTGCTTTGGTTGTGGCAAGAAAGTGAATATTTCGGTTTAAAAGAAAATGGTGATGACCAATTAAATAATTTTAATATCGATGATGAATGCATTTGCTTATCAAAGCAGTTAGATACTTTTAACTGCTTATCTGAACAGTTAGAAACTTCTGACAAAAGCATTTGTTTTCAAATTGAGAATTTACTAATTATGTTCAAAATAAATAAATTAGTAAAAAGATCTTATATTATGGGGCCAGATTTTTTTCGACGTTTTTTCCCCTCATCTCAATCGGAGGAATTTCCACATCCTACATTGATTCCCTCAAACATTAAGAAAAAAAACAACTTGTCAAACCGGATTCGGAGAAACTCTCAAAATTCAACAACAATCAAGACAAATTCATTAAACTACACCATTCATAACAATTCTTTTTCATCGACCACTCCTTTGAGTCTTCTTGTGAATCAAACATCAAAGACAACAAAACAAAATCATACATCAGAAAAATATGATAATGATACTATGAGCGTGACAACACCATCTATTATTGGAAAGAATATTGTAAATGTGGCCAACTTAACTTCCTTGACCAATAATTCCTTATCAGGGATGGCCGAATTCAACAGTCCAGGTGAGTTTCTACTTTCCACTTTCTAAATATGCAACGCATTGTAATTTTTTATTTATTTATTTTTTTATTTAGCTGAAAAAGAAGAAGAAAGGAAAGAAAATAGCAGAGGCATTGATGTTTGGATTATAGGTTCAGTTTTGTTCTTTGGTAAGTTATTTATAATAAATAATGACATTTGTAAGTGATAACTTAACACCTTATTTTAAAACTGAAATAACATGTAAAACAAAGATTTCTTTAGCTTCAATGTAAAGCTATAAAAGGTTTTTTCAAATGATTATTATTATTTAAAAATATGATAATTCATAACTGATAACAAAAAATTATATAACATACCTCTAGTATGATTTCTATTTTTAATCTAAAATTAGTGATGATAATATGAGAAATGTCATATTTTATTTCTTTTCTATATAATATGTCTCATTGAAAAAAGTTGTAGACCTCACTTTGAGTTAAAAATGTATACTTAGTCGTAGTATCATTCTTAGTCGTAATTATAATAAGATTTTTTTTTATTAGAACACAAACTTTTATCTGATACTTGTAAACTTATTTGTACAGGTTTTATTGATTGTGAATATAATATATAAGCTTTTATAAAATAACAGTTCTATCTTTTTTTTTTCCAGTTTTCTTTATGCTGGCTACTGCTTACTATTACATGAGTAACATTGGTTCACAACTCAGACGTGGGAGTTATGGAGTTCGTTCGATGTTTCCCAACAACAATACCGAGTCTGCTGTCTGATTTTTCTAGTTAAAAAATATTTGGAGTTTAGAGCTGGAAAAGATTTTCCAGTTAAAAAAAAACTCTGTACTTTTCCAGCCTTAAACTCCAAAAACTTTTTATTATTAATTCTATACTTAATTATTTTTTCAATCATAAGAACATATGTTCGGAACATAATGTTACCCCTCAAAACAATTCTAAGACTTATGGAAAAGAAATTCTATAAATTAATTACTCTAAAGCACATAATTTTTAGAGACACTAAAAAGTTAACGTTTATTCTAAATTTAACAATTGTCAAATATCAATGAACTCTTAAAAAAAAAAAATTCTTTATAAATGCAATACATGGAACGATTTTTGTTTATTCTTTAATATCGTTGATGTAAAAATACAATAAGAAATGTATTACCTACATTGTTTTCAAATGTAATAATAAAACTAGTTTTATTTTATTTTGAGTATTATTTAATTAAACCACTTTTTCTACCTTGAAATTAAAAAAAAAACTAAAATAAGTGATTGTAAAATTAATACAAATTGTTTTTGGGATTTTTAATATTCAACATATAAAAAATTATACTTAACCGTGTCCTATTCATAATTTTGTATGGCTGAAAAAAAGTTTTCCTTTTAATTATTTATTATGTGTGTTAAGTAAATGTATGAGGTCTATCTGTATTGTTTCTATCAAGTGTTCATGCAAGTAATTAGACATTTTTTTAAACAAATTAATGAAGTGAAAGAAATCTATAACAAGCGCCTTCTACAGCGACGAGCTTCGACAGAAACCGTTGTTATTTCAGTAAAAATGGGAAAAATCGACCTCGAAGTAGCCTCCAGCAAGTAATGTACAGAATTGGGATATTCTCTTTTCGATTATAAATAGTATTGGTGACTTTAAAGAGAAAAACATCTTTATTTGTTTTTATTTTTTTCTATTAATTCTTCCAAAAATTCAAGTATAATTGTAAAACCAATACAGACTTAATAAAAATGTATATATTAATCTCTTATGTACCTTTTCTGTTAAGTTAAGTTGTAGCATAGCTTTATTTAACATAAATACTAAATTTAAACTTTTGTGATTCGTCATACTTTACAATTTCATTACAACAAAGTCCAATTCCACAAACAAAATAACTAGTGAAATAAAATTACATATTTTATTATCACAGATATATATTATAATACAATATAATACTATAAATAAGTTTTGTAACATACAGAATATTAAAAGGAGTGAATTGCACTAAAAAAATGTGTACGCTTAAACAAACAAATAAATCTTAAAATAATTTTAAAATAAAATAATAACCAACAGATAGCAAAATAAACAATGACAAGTTGGTAAATATAATAATAACAGTAGTAGTTTGAGTAAATTTGTCTTTTTTTTATAACTAGCAAATCAAGCCAAAATATAAATACTATAGCCTTTTATAATATTAGCTCATAACGATGAATCATTTTATTGGTTATATGTAAATGATTACGCGGTTTTATCTTTTTTGAGCAGTTCATTAATCTATAAAAAAACATTAAGAATTTTTTGATTAATTAAAAAATGAAATGAAACAGCAACTGAATCACTTAAATTTGTTCACCTGTGCTTTATACATGTCTTTTACATCTTGGAGATCTGATTTCAACTCGTCTCATTCTTCAAGTTCTTCACCGTATAACTGTAACAGTGCATCGTACCTCCTTTGCAAGTCTAACGATTCCGCCAGTGAGCTGACTTTTCTTCTACTTTGACAGTTACAGCAGCTAATTCCGTCGTCAACTGATCCCTTTCATGATCTCTTCTGGACATCTCCTATTGTAGCTGTTGTGCTTCTCCTGTTAAAAAAGTTTTATTAATAAAACATGTTGATAAAAAAAAAATAATTTAACCACTGTTCTTACCTTCTTTTAGCTTTATCTGAGACTGTACATTTTCTAAAATTGTCGTTGTATTGATAAACGATGGTCTCATAGAATCGTAAACACTGCCTGCTCTTTCGGTTATTGAGCTCCTGTCGTCATCGGCAAACTATATAAATTAAAATTATTGTTTACACATAATAACTACACAGAATAAAATTAAATGTATTAATTACAGATGGCCAAAAGGAAGATTCGTCCATAGATGGAACGCCGACACTAGTAGTATGATTCTACGAGGGAGATGAGCTGTTTAACTATGCAAAATATTCCTTATAAATTTCTCAACTCGATCCGACAGTTTTTTTTTTCTGAAACTATAGCTATAAAAAGTTTAGACTATGAAGTATAAAATTTAACTTAAACTAGGTATTTGACTAACATCCATAAATTGTATACCAAATATTTTCTTTAACATATTAACGGTTGGTAAATAAAGGCATTAAGGTAGTAACATTGTGTGTTTAATAACACATCCAAACATTACTTAACAATAAATCTATAACTATATCAATGGCCGTTACTTTCAGAAATAAATTTTAAAAAGGAACCTTAATTTAAAATAGAGTACAAGGTTAAATATCTAAATTATTTTAAAAACTTCACCAAGGGATAATGTGTCAACATTTATGTAGTCTCCAAGAAAATTGTATTAATTGTTATAAATGCTTCGATGCCAACCTGTAGGTAGATGTGTATAAGTACAAAATTCGATAAAAGCATAGTAAAAGCCATAATGTGCATACAATTATTTTAGAGTATTAGGGGGATATGATTAGGGCTGATCATCTGTCAATAATAATTTGTCGTCGTTGTTACCCATACATTGTAATTAACAATATCATTAAATATATATATATATATTTTTTAATACCTACCAATTGACTGTTGATTCACTCACATATTATATCAACCTATAGATATTTATTAGGGTCAAAGTGTTATTTTTACATTTTGTTTAGGTTTTTCCTCAAAAAAAAAAAACTTGAATACAGATTAGTAAGCTTACCATGTATGTCATAGCCCCATTATAATTTACTTTGAGTTTAATTTTCTGCCCGTAAGTTCTAAAACTACATCTAAACTACATCTAAACTACATCTAAACTACATCTAGTAATTTTAAATATAAGAAAATGTACAATTTTTGGGGGTTTTTCTCAATTTTGAAAACCAAGACGTGAACTTTTTTAATGTTTGACCAAATAAAATATATTTTAGGTATGATTTATGGGCTTTAGACTGCTACATAAAGAAATCCGATCATTCTCTTAGAATATAATATCATTGGTCCAGACACAAAAATAAAAAAAATCTTCTCAAACACATCATTGTAACTAATGGGTAACAATATCTTTTCAGCTACACAATTAACTAATAACAAATGATTTATTTGAAAAGCATTTTTATTTACTGTTACAAATTATTTGGTATTTATATTTTCAAATAATTTTTTAATTAAATCACACCTTGGCATTATCTACCTACTATTAATAAATACTTTTTATTATTATACGAACTTTAAATGTATAACAAGTTTATCCGGTAGTTTATTTAATAAAAACGCCCAACGTTGTCGAAATCGAATTATGATTATATTTTATGTCGTCCATCATTGTATTTACACTTTGTTTGTAACGAATTGAATCTAATTTTAAAAAAACCGTCTAATTCGTACAAGAAATCGTCATGATTTACATTTAAAACGCACTTACGATATCCGTTATGATCGAACTCGGACTTTGAACGTACAATTTTATAGATTTCTCTTAGTGCAAACATTTGTTCGCAATCGCATTCAATTCGGTCAAGTATAGCCAAACCATCCGGAGCGTGCACACTCTGAATGTGTCCGTAAGCATCATGTTATATTTTCCCATACGAACGTTAAAGCGTTGGTAATCATGTATTGTTTGTCTATATTTGCTCTCTGAAAACAACAGTAATAATAATTCATTTTGGCTGCGTACCGATAAACCAGCCATACTTCTTCCATTTGTATACCGTCTTTAACGTAGAACAACGAGCGAACCATGTTCACCGTTTCCGTTAAGAAATACACCGAAGTCATCCAATAGAGTTTTGGTTCAAAACGACTGTAGTCGGCCTCCAGAAGTAATTTTCTGACCGTAGAAAAATAAAAGTGTGCGCTGAACAGATAACCGCATTTGAGTTGGTCGAATTTCCAAATTATCGCTTGCCTCAGCTGACCGTCGGACACGTTCTCCAAGGAAGTGGGCAAATCAAATTGCTCGTTTACACATCCGGTACTTAACGACCGGACCTGGTGCCATTGTTCCATTAGTTTTGAACGTTTGTCACTTAGTTCACTAGTACACAATGACCTCACATGGGCTAGTATGAAAACCAAACATGCTACAAGGTATTTTGTTAAAAACATTTTAATTCGGTTTGTTATTGCGACTTACAACGGACAATTTGAAAACGAATTATTAAACATAACCTCACACTTTTTAAGAAATTTAAGTATACATACATACAAGCTACTTGTATAAACAACTACACTTAAAACGGCTATATTTTATAGTTTATGACGAATAACGTGCTTTATTTACTGTCGGTGGCGTTGCATTTATTTGTTGCAATATCTACCATATGGTGAACGCAAATGCAAACTCTCCAATGCACTAGTTTGAATTTCAAATGTTTTTTTATGAAAAAATTATAAGGTGGTTTTTCTGTTTGAAATATATGATCACAGTCAACATTAAAACTATGAAAAATATTATTTAAATCGGTTCAAAATATAATCGTCGCTATTTATTTATTTTCTATTGAGTTAAATTAGACTTCAACAACCATTATTCCACTATACAACATTAAACCGTTAATCAGCTATTAAGGCTAGTTAATTATATTAACCATCCTATGTATATAATTATTTTATATAATATTAAATTCTTAACTGTTTGCATGTAATATCATATTACAAATTTTATATAGTTGGTCCAAAACATTATCGTTACTATTTGTTTATCGATACGCTTTACACATTTGCACGGTAACGGTAATCTTAAAATTGTTGCTATTTTTCAATGTATGAAAATACAATTTTGTATTCAATAATACTGTCAACGTCAATAGATTTTTACAACACGTTAGTGACTTTGAATGCGGTCAAAATCCGCTGAATTTAGGTACCTATGCAAATAATGATATTTGACCGAAAATTGAATAGACTAAAACGCATCGAGCGACCAGTACGATATTTGTTAAAATCTTAAATTCAACCGTAAAAGCAGCGATCGAGTCTAGTGACAAAATCGGTAGGTAAGAAATTAACCGTTTACAAAAACAAACTTTGTTTATTATTTGAAAATATTAAGATTTTTTTTTCCTGTCGACGACCGGCACTGTATAGAGATTGCACTCTGGCGTCGTCCGAAAATGCATACAATCTGTGGTAGTTCACTTTTTTTTTGGTAATCCGTACTTGCAGTCGTGCATTTACTTGATTGTGACATCATCATCTTTCATATACAACGCATTTGATCTCGATGATCTCATAACCCATGGACGAAAGAGTCAGCATCCGTGACAGTGGAATACCTCTGAAGAAGTATGGAAGCATCAACAGGAAGTCGAACTTGTTGCCGAACACGTGCTACGTCAAACACGTGGTCACCCAGACCGACACTATACAAGGGTTGGCTCTCAAGTACGGCTGTACAACCGAAAAAATACGGAAAGCCAACCGGCTATTTGCCAACGACAGCTTGTTTCTGAGAGAGCATTTGTACGTGCCCACCGGAAACGTTGTGGTCAATGCCGGAAACGGCAACGACAGGGAAAATATAAAATCACCGCCGTCGGACGAGAATAATTATTACTGTCGAGAAGACTGCAATAACTTTTTGAACAAAATCGACAGTAAAATTGCCAGCGCCAGAGCTCAAGTGATCGACAGCCAGAAAAGGAGTTCCTATTATCCACAAGAACAACAAGTACTGTTTACCTGGCACCGTAGAATACCTAGTCCCGAGTCCGACTCCGACGACAATATACCTTACCCGATAATTGTGACCCAGAACAAAAAAATGTCCGGTTCGCGACTACGTCTGAAACAAAATCAAGAAGAACTGTTTCCTTTGTGATAACAACTGTCAGAATATAATATCATGGTTTTTTTTTCTTTTTGCCCCGTAAAATCTAAATATGTCGAGAAAAAAATGTAAAAAACATTATTGAAATACTAAAAAAAAAAAAATGTGATATTTTCTAATTATCAAAACAATTTGTCGTGTAAAATGGTTTAACTGTTTAAGCGAAATCTAATTGAAAATATTATGTTTGTGATTGTATTTTTTCTTCTAGTTTTACGTACAACTTTTGTAATACGTTAAGATTAATTTTAAGTATATTCTCAAAGTGAATGTTGAAATATTATCAATTGTATTACCGAAATAAATTCCAAAGATTGTTTAAATTTTCTTGTGAATTTTGAATGATTGTTACCATTAAGATGTGAAACAAAACTATTTACAATTATTATTGTTGTTAATTCTTTATTAGTCTATACATACATAAGAACTGCTAGCATCTCTCTGCACTCATAATCAAGATATTATTGCCAGTTTTTAAATGCTTAGAGCTGTCATTTTCCCTTTACTACAAAAGGATAGACAAATCGTAGGCGAAAGGGCAGAAAACAGCGGTAATAATAGCAAAGGTGTTCACTTCGGAAAAATTATATTAAAAAAAGCAATAGAACTTTAAAAAATACCACAAAGTCAGTATGGTCACGACAGCGGAACGGTAGCCATCGCTTGTACATTAAAAAACATATTATGCTCAATAATATTATACACAGAGTATTTATATGGTATATCTAACGCAAAATGAGTTAATCGTTATAATTCATTAAATAAACGAGAGAAAATTTTATACTAATTAAGGATTAGTATCTCAACAAGTAATTACACCAATAGTTACAAGCTCAATAAAACCATCCACAGAATCAAAATATCTAATAAATAACACAGGGTGATCCACCTATCGTGAATTTTATTGGTCTGCAAAAAAATCTGGATATTATTTGCATTTTTATAAACCTTAAAGTAAAGCTCAACGTCTTGCATTAACATCATTGGAGCCAAAAATCCACAAAACTCGTTCAAAACAAACAGAAAGAAATAACACACTAAACACGTTTAATCCTTGTATAAACTTCACTTATTGTGTAATAATTGAAGGGGTGAATGGATAAAGGTGTTGAGTGACTTTTTTTGTAAAATAGATATAAAAACAATTTGAATTAATGAAAATGTTAGGATATTTTACACAATTTAGCAAAATATTATATTTTATATATTTTATATTGATAAAATGGAAATTCTCTCACCATCGTTTTAATAATATTATATGTATATATTTTTTTAATAATATAACGTCATAGAATATAAGTAGTTTGTGGAATTAAAAGTGATAAATTTAGTGACTTGTGAGGTTAGCGATTGCTTCTTTGAATAAATACTAGTTTGTGTAAAAATTAAAACTATTAAACAATGCTTTTAGTTAGGGAGGTAAAGATGTTTATTCCTTGTATAATGTCATTTGTTGTGTAATAATTTAAGGGGTGAGTGGATAAAGGTATTTGATTGACAGTTAAATATGTTAGTTGAGCTTAAAAATTTAAAAAGTTTCAAGTATTTAAATATATATATATTTAATTATATATAACATTTTGACTATTAAGAATTGAAATAACTGTTTGGACAATATTATTTCCTGCTTTGCTGATATCTGAATCCGGTGTATTGATTTCATTTGGTCTGGCCAAGTTGCGTTTTTCAATTTCGTTTTTTATAGTCTGTAAAAATGTAATCAAATAAAATAAAACAGTATAATTACAATTTTAGGTATAAATGCACTTTACCAGACACCCTTTTTTTTTGTATCTTTGTAGCCAGTCGCTAACACCTATTTTTATACATGCAAAAAAAATATACGAATTTCAAGAAGCTATTGAAGAAATTTGGAACTAGAGCAGTCCGCCCAATTATGACTCGCGATTCGTAAATTTCATTTGTACCCAATTTTATTTTATTAGCAATAAATGCATTATCGTTAATCACCGTTGTGAGTTCAGGAAATAATTCACAAAAATTGTCATCGCGTATGTTAGTTTCCAAACTTTGAGCAGCCAGTTGACGCCTTTCGTAATCTGTCATATTATTACTGCCCCATGTACGAGTGTTTTCCAGCTTAAATAAACAAATTAAAATTGCACACAAACAATGATTCATTCAATTACCATGAAGCTGAACAATCCAGTGAATATTGTAGATACACTCCAAGCAGGATTCCACGTATCCGGGCAAAAATCGCTGATTGTTAAGCAGAGTCGAGTGTTTGCTTTAAACCTCCCGTTAGGAGTAAATGCTTGGTGGCATAAATGGAAAATCTCCAGGAAAACCAAGTCGACCCAAGTAGTATCCCCCAGCATATGGCGAATCGTCCGGTCCGCTTATAACATAGCACTTGTAAATTCATTGTTACTTTACAATTCTAAACTAATAATTGATTTCTACAATTATAAAATACCATTGCAATATGTTTGACGGATCGGGTTCAGCTACTACGTATGGTACTGGGTCATTTTTAAGACGAGCATAATCATGTTTTAATCGAAGTGTAGCAGATGATGTCTTAGGTGGCATAATTCAATTTTGTTCGTATAGTTGTTTACAAAAACTTGTGGAAAAAAGTGCATTCCCACAATAAAATATAATCTCGTTATATTTATCCAGTTTCTATAACAATACAATATCAGAAAAAATAATAATATAAGCTAATGAATTATTATTGAACTTCACTTCAACTAAGTAGGCAATAATTCCAACAAACACGCTTTAAAAATGTGTAATTTATTTAATATTATAGTTATTTTATCGAACATTTAAACAGAAATTAATTTTATGTACTTTTACATTCAACATAGAAATGTATGAACTATAAATTGGGGAAATATTGATAAAATAGAAAAGACATGGAATAGAAAATAACTAGTTGATCAACAGCTGTTCTGGAGGAGGCAAAGTTGGAACTTAATATTTATTATTATCAACAGTTTTTGGGAGGCAATAATTATTAAATTTAAAACAATCAGTTTGTACAAAAAACTTATAATAAAACGGAATACCTAGTGGCTAGTTGTATTAAATTGCAGTATCTATTTAATAGTTTAATCTAATCTTAAAGAGAAATATTATACTATATGTTATTTTTTTACCAATTAACAGTGGTCAAACTTTTGACTAATACTCGGTCTGTAAATTCTTTGTAAATTGGTCTTATTAATTATAGTCTAATCAAATATAAGGATAGTTATAGAATAGACAATACAATACTGTTTCGACAATATTATTTTCTAGTTCGCTGATATCTGGGTCCGATGTACTGATTTCATTTGCTCTGGCCAAATTGCGTTTTTCAATTTCGTTTTTGATAGTCTGTAAAAATGTAAGCAAATAAAATAAAAGAGTATATTTACAATTGTAGGTATAAATGTACTTTACCAGACACCCTTTTTTTTTTTGTATCTTTGTAGTATTTTTGAAATTTTTATGTCTTTGCTATGGCACACACACGGAAAATCTACACCGACACCGCTTATCATAACGACACCGGTTATCATAACGAAAAATAACAGCTGATTTATCTGTTTAGATAAGAGAGATAACAGATAACAGATAACAGATATGGGTTTTACTTTGGAACACAACCGGAAAAAAATTGACACCGACACCGACACCGGTTATCATAATGAAAAAAAAAACAGCTGATTTATCTGATAAGAGAGATAAGTGATAAGGGAAGGGGTGAGAGTTAGAGATGAAGGATAAGGTGGAAATGGGGCTGGGGGTGGTTATAAGGATGAGGATGAGGTCGAGGTTGAGGATGAGGTCGAGGTCGAGTATGAGGACGAGGATGGGGAGGGGATGTTAAGTTTTTTTATTATGTGTTGTTTTCACAACGAACAAACTTAAATTAATGGTTTATGAATTGATTCAAAATAACTAGCCATGTAAACGTTTTGCCAATAAATCGATTAAGGGCAATTATTAAAAAAAACACTAAAATACTTTTGGCCGCAACATAAAATTAATCATCACCTACCATTCGAGTACCGTGGTTACCATTGTCGCAAACCAAGTGTTTATTTTGGGTTATCAACGAAAAATATTTCGAATGGTGTCAAGGCTTTATAAAAAAAAAGCGGACGGTGCTCCGCATAACGAGACATAAAAATGTATCCCGTGGTGTAGCGGACTTGTACGCAAGCTGTTAAAAAATAATATGTAGTACCTTTCTTAAAAAAATAACTTTAAGCCAAGCCAAGTAAATCTTTAGGCCATTTTAAACAGATTTTTTTGTAGCAAATGTAGCAGATTTGGGTCCCCAATTGATCCACCGCATATGATAGATTTCGGAGGGCACCAGTTGACTCTAAAACGACGTTAAGCAATTTCCTTATGGAACTACCATCACCATAGGTTTCTTTTATTTAATAATTTGCTTAACTGAACATATAAGAAAGTTTATTACTAATCAATAGGCATTAACAAATATTATAAATTTTCTTGTTACTGTTTATTTACTGTCATGTAATACTAATGGGTTTTAACTACGCTATGTTGTTTTAAATGTATTTTTTTTTTTTACGTCTTTGTTTACAACATTTTTTTTAACCACTGAACTAAATTCTTCATTTAGCAAGCTTATACTTTACACGTGTTTTTCATTTATGTTTGCCAAAAATTAAATTATTTCATCCCGCATCAAATTTAAAAACGTTTGACTTGAAAATACAGCAGACCATTATTTTTTTTAAAAAAAAGTTTGGATTTGTTCCAAATTTATTTCAGGTGTTGTTTTGATACAACTCTACGGTCTACTAGTGTAAATTGAAAAACAAAATTCATTAGTCAGTTTTCTTGGAAAGAGGAAAATTTTTTTGTGGTGTAGTTTTTAGACCAAGAAAAAAAACTTAATTATACAAAGCGGCAAACAAATGTTTTGTACAAATTTTCCACTGATCAATGCTTCAACCATGCTGTCCACAATGTGTAGTACTTATGAATATTATTAAAAA